AATAAGGGAATTATAAAAAAAATCCCAAACATTATCTAGATTATGAAGAGAAACTGACCGCATAAGATGGCTACTTCATTGAGAAATGAACTCTATTCAATGGGCATGCTGAGATTTTTTAATGGAAACTCTCTGTGATGACTTTGCTTAATGTAGTAATGTACTCTATTCAATAAACATGCTGCTTTTTTCGTTAAATCTAAACTTTATCAGGTGACTGTGTCTAACACAGAAATGTACATTTCCTGTATTCTCTGGTCGTGTTGTTATGTTGCAAATGAAAACTTGATTTGGGCGATTTTGCTAAATCTAACACAGACGTTCTGGCAATAAATCATCTGACTGGGTAGAGAGGAAGTCTGGCTCTCTTTACGGTAATAATTACAACGTGTAAATCTAAAGTCATTGTGCAGCAGACCACGGGTTTGACCCCTCTTGGCACTGTCTGGGAATATCGCGATTGTGATCACTTGTAATCATTACTGAACGTAGAGAAACATGGCTGCAGATAAAAGGTGAAGGTCAGAAGTCACGCACCTGGCAGAGCATTGTGGCGGCCATTTTGTTTTCACGCCACAAGTCAACAACCTCCCTCACAAAGCAAACCAATGCGAACGTGTTTAATATTGTAGTTAATCTAGCCTCTAGGCAGATTCTCAACCCCACCCAACCCCTCCCACCCCATCATCCCTTGTCCCTTCCACACTGACAAAGCGTTTGACGCAGTTGCCAAGTGCCCCCGGGAATCGACTAATGTTTGACAAAGCGTTGACGTTTGACACGTGATCGATACCTGGGAAACGGTGTAGCCTGATATAATGACCCGGGGCTGAATGTTGTTTACAAAGAGATAATATAAGCCAGAAGAATTAATTGTGATGAAATTAGTATGCCCAACTCTACATCTAATACCACGTGGTTAAGTGTCTGAATTATCAAGAGAAAATATGACATGTGCTAAAAACATTAGTTAATCATTTTGTGCGCTATTATGTCGTCTGTAGACGGGTAAATTTTCGTGGAGATGAATTTACTGTGCACCGTCCATTAGTCATGTCAGTTTAATATGTGTTCTCAATTTGGTAATATATTCTGTATGACACACATGTCGATTGAAGTCCTAACGACTTTATTAAACGGATGAGCAGGAACGCTTAATGTAATATTTACATTTTCACCCATTAATGGCCTCAGATATTGATTTTTGTTAACCTTGTATGTTTTTTCATAAATCTGATATGTTTCAACAAACTAGATACTAGGGTTTTACTTTGACTTAAGCGGTAACATGAGAGATTGCATTAAATTTGTATGATCCTAACCAAATGCAAAATTAAGGCACTTAATTGGAAAACACTTTACTTTCTTGATGCTGAAGAGATTGTATAACGTGTTATGTTAATGTTAAAAAACAAACGAGATGAAACACGATCCATAATGTGTTAGTCAGCGATGTAATGATTGATGAAGACACGATAGTATTGTGTGGAAGATATTTCCTTATGAACTACCGAACAAAAGAAATAGATATTTAAATATTGGATTTGCCAAAAAAAATTAAAAAATACAAACATAATTAGGACGTCACTTGGATGAAAACATTCAAAGAAATACTGCAAGATAAGGTATAAAACACAACGCTGCGTATCCAATACATCGACATAAAATAACCATTTTTTGTTTCGTTTCATCCACCATGAAAACGACAGTTCCATATTGAACGTCAGTTGTTTCAACCAAAGAAGCTTTCATGGCAATCGTTTCAGGAATTCGAAACACTCTTCAACGAAAGGAAAGGTTAAAAAAACATAAATTTCTACAAGGACGAACATGTACGTATTTGGTAAAATAGGGCGACGTTGGTTAACTTGTGCCCTTTGTGTTTCAAAGAAAATTAAGCATTTGAAGTTAAAAACTTTGACATCTCAACCCGAGTAATGTTAGACGTATTCCAATGGTGCCTTTCTTCTATTTGCACGAATTTTATTACCAACTTCCCAAAAAATTCTGAAGTACGAAGTCTTTGACCCAAGTCGAATTTGCTCATATGTTTGCTAGACTGTAGGAATATGCATCCCCGACGATATTTGACTTGGTTTGAAGGCAAGCTCCTGTTCAAATATGATTAGACTACTGCGTGGAAAAATGTAAATAATTCGTTTCAACATATTTAAACCTTATATATCATTAGTGTCATTTTACATCCATAACAGGTATGCAAGACTTAGTAAAGGGAGAAAATGTTCGTAACTGCCGGTTCAAGAATGAGTCTCGTGGAGTATTTTCTCTAACTTGCATCCCTATTTATTCAAATTGTTTATAGCTCTGATTGAAAAAATTATTTTTCTAAAATATTTGAAACATATACTGACTCGTTCTCTGTGTTCATATCGTGTGTGTCGCCCTTGCGCGCTACACATAGACTGCATTTTCTGGTGCTGATGCGCGTGCGCTTAGCTCTGGGCTGAGCTGATTTCCGTGATACATGGCTCAAGAGACTCTTTGTTGGTCCTAAATGAGTATATTATCAATCACTTGTACGTTTTTGACGGGTGTATATGAAACACAGAGCAAAGAAGAAAGGATATTAAGTAAAACTCCGTCGTATCGAACTCGGATTGGTCGAACTTACGGTTGACTGGAATAAAAACTTGGTCCCTTTGTATTCTTTCTGTATTCACTAATATTTCGGTTGTGTCGATACCCGTATAACTCGCAGCATTAACATACGTGCCTTCAAATTCGACACAGCAGTGTTTTCACTTGAGTTTGTATTTCTTCAGCTGTTTTGTCGTATTTGTTCTCTTCAAAGAGTTACCTAATTTTACAAGCCGCCGTCGAGAAAATATGAACGTGCGTGTCAAAACAGAAGTGCATTATTGTACGTTGTGACAGCGGTAACGTATGCATGGATGATTAACATTGTCAGCCTGAAGTCAGTCGTTGTTAATAATGAAAATTGTAAACACTAGAATGACGTCATTCTTTTTTATTAGTAAAGTACATTCCATTTGGCAAGAAGTCTCAAGCAGTAAGTCATACCTTGTTCTTTAGAATGAGTGAGTGAATGAGTTTAGTTTTACGCCGCACTCAGCAATATTCCAGCTTAATGGCGGCGGTCTGTAAATAATCGAGTCTGGACTAGACAATCCAGTGATCAACATCATGAGCATCGATCTGCGCAATTGGGAACCGATGACATGTGTCAACCAAGTCAGCGAAACTGACCACCCGATCCCGTTAGTCGCCTCTTTACGACAAGCATGGGTTAGTGAAGATCAATATTTTAACCCGGATCTTCACGGGTTGTTCTTTAGAACCTAAAGGAGCGACAATTTTGGGGAACGTATCTATCGTCTCTGTCTTACGTTCTTTCAGGAACCCTAATCTGTGAGAAATGAGATGAACATTCTATGGTCCATTTTATGCATCTCCCAGTGACGTAGCAGGTGAGGTGAGGTGAAATTGGGTTTTACGTCGTGCTTGAAAATATTTCGCTCATATGACGACGTGCATGCGTGTGTATGTGTATGTGCGGCCGCTTGTACTAGCCCAGACTGAAGCTGGTTATTATAGTGCTAGCCCACTGAGATACCATGCCGCAGTGAAACATGAATACCCCACTCAGACACATTATACTGACTCCGAGCCGACCAGTCCTTGTTGTACCCATTAATGCTGAGCGCCAGGCAGGGACCAACAAGTACCATATTTTAACGTCTTTTGGTATGACGCGGTCGGGGATCGAACCCGCGGCCTTCCGCTTTCCGGAGTAACGTAGGAGAGATCATGCGATTATATTATGTCCGTTAAATTAGAATTACTAAGTACGCAAATAAGCGCTGTGTTTGCTGTTTCAAATTCAGCAATATACCAGCTACATGACGGCGGTCTGTAAATAATCGTGTCTAGATTAGGTAATCCAGTGATTGACATCATGAGCATCGATCTATGCAACTGGGATAGGATAACATACATATACAATGTCAGTGAGTCTGACAAATGAATGTTGGGAGTAACCTTTTGAGATGGCTAACTTGCTGAGAAACAATTCTAACCCCTATCTTTATGGCGGCAATATTTAAATATTTATTGGGTGATTCTGATCCGATTTCAAGTAAGGTTCACGTGTTACTAAATAACTTTCAGACTCAAATGGTGTGTCAGTGTTCCCTGTTGTCCTCGGGATGTGTATTGTAACGGGGATATGTTTAACTTTGTCCTCTTCATGCTAAGTGGCAGGCAGGGTAACAACAAATACCATGCCTTTTGGTATGACGCGGTGTGTGCGGTGCGATGCGGTGGTTGTGTGACAGTTCCATCAAAGCGAATAATGAAGTTCCAACAGACATATTAACATTCATTTGATCACATTCAATGATCACAGATGTTGTCTCGGTTATGACGTTACATGCGCATCCATGACTTGTACGCGACGTCACTTCACATCGTTGCATCTTGCCTGAACGGAATCATCTAGCTGCATAATATATAAGAAAAACATGTTCTACTGCATTTATTATCAAAATTGATAAACATTGTAGATATCTAGCTGATAAAGCTATTACCATTTAACATTAGTAATAAATTCTACCTGAGAGTCTCAGCTTCAAATACAGTAAAATCCCTGTCCCACAGATAAACTGTCTGAAATATATCCGGATTTATAACTTACTTGGGAAAATAAGAACCAACTAATTATATGTTTCTCCACAGAGTCCGGTATCAATTGAATGTCATATTGTGTGTCTCATTATATTTTTTACCAAGTCTTACAATTAGCCACTGCTCATTTAATATTCACTCTGTCTATTTATGTGAAAGCGACAGGTCTATCTCGGGGAATGTTCACGTCTTGTTTACAGATCTTGAAACAAGATGTCAGTGTTTGACAAAATATTTCAGTTCACCTGAATTTGTTATACAATGAATTATTAATGTATGCATTGTCTAACACATGTAACATCTACCGTGCCTTTAGTTTGGGGATGAATGTTTTAGATCTGAGCGGTCAGCAACAAGATGGGACTGCGGACATCATTGAAGTGGCCAGGGTATGTATTTGAGTAGTCCACACAACGGGAAACAGGCATGGATTCTTTGTAAAACAGGGGACTCCTACAAAATAGAGAACCATATATCAACAATTAGGATCATAAAGTACCAGGAAAAGGAAAGTAAACATGTTGACTATGGCTCATTGGAAACAAAACAAGAAATGTATATTCGATGGTGATGTATTGATAAAAGCATCCCACTTGATTTGGACCTTACTTTTGCAGTGTTTCGGCGACAGTTTTTTTTGTGTGTATATAGTTTATACAAAGACCCTAAAGACCCTAAAGACCCTAAAGACCCTAAAACAAATATATCCCATAAAGTCCTTGCAAATCTAGAAAAAGTCTAGATTATCACAGTATCTGGGCTATTTTGATTATATTTTTAAGTACAATTAAGAAACCGGTTGTCTGTTCGCTTCAGAGACTAGATGTTAGTTGATAATATTTTGTTCAAATTCAGTTTTCAAGTGTATACCTTCTTTTCGCCGTCAGTTTAGATATACATTCAGATCAATGATGAACATTGTTCTATATAAATAGACAGACACGCAGAGACAGACAGAGTTTATTTCCAGTAAAAGGCCGTAGGCCCAAAATACATTCAAAAGGAAATTCCAGTGTAGCCAGGGGCACAATGATCATTCAAGTGTGTTTGTAATAATCCTTTTAACATAAAATAGATACAAGGCAACAGATTTTACAGTGTCTACATTAGTATTCTTGAAAAGATTTGCTAAAGAATATACAGTATAAGGCTTTTTAACACATTTTGTAATAAACCTCTCTCTTAGTTGTGAATAGGATTCACAAATGAACAGTACATGAAATTCATCTTCAATACAGGTAAGACCTTTAGATTTACATGATGTACAAAATCTTTGATTATAATCAGTGTTGTTATAACGCCCAGTTTCTACAGCTATTTTAAAATTACTACACCTAAATTGTGCTAAAACAGCTCTTAAATGTGTAGAAAGGTTAAACGATAAATAACGTTCAACATTTAACGCAGATTTAAAATACTGATAATAGTTGCATTTAGGGGAATTACTCAGGGAAGAGTACCAGGACTGTTTTAAATTATCTGATAATCTTTGTTTAAATAAGCTTATAAACATCTTTACATCACCAACATCTTGGCTCAACCAAACATATCCAAAACCAAAATTAAAAAGAATACTTTCTATATAAATACATCTTCTTGAACATTTCTTTTCACATGCAAAAATATATGGACAATATATATTAGCAATGAAGAACATAATGAGTGAATCAGCAGAGTTCTCACTGATGAGTTGATTGCAAAGTTTCTGTCTTTCTAGGAGTGTGGAGAGGTGACAGGAAGATGTCGCTGGATGCGGCTGCTCAGATCGCTGCTGCAAGGATTGCAGAACGCCAGACTCACAACTCGGCGTGGTACAGAGTGAACGCTACTCGAGTCATCACCGGCGGACACAAACTCACACCCCCAGTCAACAAGGCCATCAAAGATGTGAGTATATAGCTACAACTCACACCCCCAGTCAAAGATGTGAATATATACCTAAAACACACACATTTAGTCAACAAGGCCATCAAAAATGTGAGTATATTGATAAAACTCTCTCCTTCTGTCAAGGAGGCCATAAAAGATGAGAGTATATTGCTATACCGCACACCTTTAGTCAACAAGGCCATAACAGATGTGAGTATATTGATAAAACCCACACCTCTAGTCAACAAGGCCATCAAAGATGTGAGTATATAGCTAAAACTCGCACTTTTAGTCAAGGCCATCAAAGATGTGAGTATATAGCTAAAAGTCACACCTTTAGTCAACAAGGCCATCCAAGATCTGAGTATATAGCTAAAACTCACACCTTAAATCAACAAGGCCATCCAAGATGTGAGTATATAGCTAAAACTCACACCTTAAATCAACAAGGCCATCCAAGATGTGAGTATATAGCTAAAACTCACAACTTCAGCCAACAAGGCCATCCAAGATGTGAGTATATAGCTAAAACTCGCACCTTTAGTCAACATGGCCATCAAAGATCTGAGTATAGAGCTAAAACTCACACCTTAAGTGAACAAGGCCATCATATATGTGAGTATATAGCTAAAACTCGTACCTTCAGTCAACAAGGCCATCAAAGATGTGAGAATATAACTAAAACTCACACCTTTAGTCAACAAGGCCATCAGAGATGTACCTTCAGTCAACAAGGTCATCAAAGATGTTAGTATATAGCTAAAACTCGTACCTTCAGTCAACAAGGCCATCAGATATGTGAGTATATAGCTAAAACTCGTACCTTCAGTCAACAAGGCCATCAAAGATGTGAGTATATACCGGTAGCTAAAACTCACACCTTTAGTCAACAAGTCCATCAAAGATGTGAGTATATAGCTAAAACTCATGATCACCCCAAACTCATTATAGAAAACCAGGTTCGATTCCAACATGGGTACAACGTGTGAAGCCCATTTCTGGTGTCCCCCGCCGTAATATTGCTGGAATATTGCTAAAAGCTACGCAAAACTAAAACTCACTCACTCACTCATTCGGAGTAATACGACTTTGTACAGTTTATTCTATACTGAAAAATACAATTTATTGAACAAAATCCACTGCTTTTACACCATATAATTTTCACCACCGATCTGCCTTTTACGGCCAGTGGAATCTATTTCGGCAGATTATCGACCCTGATCATTCTCTGACGTTGGCATTTTACAGTTAAGGGGTTCCACTAGCTTTAATGGGCGGGTATCCTTTGTAGCCGACTCTTGTATTTTCTTGATCATGTATTTACTATTCAATTGATGTGAGCAGAAAAATCACGATTAGAAAGATTCAAAGATAGACTCACGTCCTTGCGTCACCAACCTTTGTCCGGCAAAATGTTCTTAGCCTAGGACATATATATATTCCCATTTTAACCACCCGCCCTTGTGACTTAACAGTAAATACTTGCTTTATAATACCAATATAAGTGTATACTGAACAAATAGGCGTACCGTCTTGCGGAGGACTATGTTACCATGGGAATTACAAACCCTTTTGAAGAACGGGACACATACGAAAAGCCCGGATGTGTATTTCTTTAGACACTCCTTGGCCGACGCGCCAAACATTTGTCTCTCTCACGTCGTCAATTTTTAACACGATAATACTTCTTCACGCATCGACGCAAAATGCATCATGTATCGATTTCAACAACATATTAGATTGATTTTCTATGTGGTTTTAAAAGCCTACACTAAGTGACTGATCCGATGTTCCAGAGAACTGTCTTGAATACAGAATATTGGTGGTACTCCGAACTTGGCGTAATGTTTACATAATTAATAGAAACTGTCTTGCACAAATGACTTCGTGTAGTACGGGTAAACAACAATGGTATGCTGGTAAGAAAGACCATACCTTCTCCTGAAGGCACGACCTGATAAGCTGGAACAAAAGAGCTATACTGACTTTGCTTATAATACACCCTTGGCTGTCCAAGACATTACACAAACCGCGGTGGGCGACGCAGGATGCCATATTTCTAAATTCCTAACTAAAGGGTAGTCTCTGATAAATAGGTCTCTAAAGTTATTTTCTTCGATCACAGCTTCTAAAAATACATCAGGTTTCCTTTGTCGGGAGCCTATGGCTATTAGCGACATCTATAGGGCAAACATTCATTAACATAATATGTAAGTAAATCTCAAACCGTAAACAAGCAAGCTTTCATGCCTTTTGGTCGTACCTACATAATTATGCTTTTCAGCAATTCTGTGTAATGCTTTAGACATGACATCTAAATGACAATCCAATTAAGTGTACATCTAAATTATAATTTTATGTGCACAAATATGTATTGATGTTTTGAAATGAATGGGAATGTAACAAAACATGGATATATATATATATATATATATATATATAAGAAGAAGTTTCTGAAATAATTACACAACACGGATCTTCTCCAACATGTTTCACTTTTATCTTCAGGGAGAAGTGATTACAGTTAAACGGATTATGTTATGACGTCAATTTGTCATGACGTCACAATGCAACTGTATACAAATGTTGTGACGCGGCGTTGCCATGACGTCACATTGGCGGCTTTATATTGACAGTACTAGTAGCACAATGAAAACAAGTATAATTCAGACACATTGCGTTACCTATTTAACGATGGACACAATTCTTTGATGAAAAAGTTTTCTTTAGCTTTACGCTGCATGGCGTCAGCAGTATTCATTTTATAGAAAGGGAATATTTTAAATTTTATTTCCTTTCCTGCTGCGCAATTGTCAATGTGAGCGCTTTAAGGGATGCACCTTGTTTTGGGGTCCTTAATCTGTTGTTTATGGACGCGCATTCTGTCCCTCAAGCACTCCGTTTGTCCAATGTATTCTTCATGACACCCTTGGCATATAATAACATAAATAATATGTTTTGCGGAGCAGTCCATGTTAGAGCGTACATGAAATAATTGTTTCCTGTTTTGAACTTTATACATGAAGTTTCAAGTATATATTCACAAGTTCCACAATTTCCCCGTTTACATTTTGAGACACTGAATTCTGTAGGTTTAATACATGAGTCGAATGTGGCACGTGTCAATATGTGTTTTAAGTTACGGCTTTGGCGTTTACTCTTTATCATTGTTACATTAGCCATAATTCGATTCATTTTCATATCAGCATTTAAAATTGGAACATTTTGTCTTATGATATGAAAAAGTTCCGGATTCTTGGGGTTGTGCGTTGAAACATAGGCCAGATTGACAGTGTTATTTATTTGTTTATCACGAACTTTCAACAGTGTCCTTCTGTCTATGTTTATTGCTTTCTTTATTCCATCTTCCACAAGAAGGACTGGGTATCCACGGGACTGTAGATATGATTTTAGTTCTGCAAGTCGTATGTTCCTTGTCGGTATTTGTGACACAATCATGCAGATACGTCTTGCTAAGTTATAGGGAATGCTTCTCTTTATATGACTCGGGTGGCAAGATGAAAAATGAAGGTATTGTTTAGTATCTGTAGGTTTATAATATATATCTGTTTCTAGATTACGTCCACATAGTTTTACTATGATGTCCAAAAATGGAATTTCAGAATAATTTGAGTCCATGGTAAAATGTAAATGTTTGTTCAATTTATTTAGGATGTTATAAAACAGAGTTAATTTTTCATCTCCAAAGGGCCATAACATGAAGCAATCGTCAAGAAAACGTCGCCAATTTGTTCTAAAGTATTCAGCGACTTCAGGTCCTAACTGTTCTTTCACTTTGGTTTCCAGAGTTCGTTCCAAATACCCTAAAACTAACGTAGCATACGTGGGTGCCATTTTGGTTCCCATTGCTGTACCCTTCATTTGTCTATAACGTTCCCCATCAAAATTGAATGTATCATTATTCAATATGAATGTAACACTTTCTATGACGAATTCCTTGGAGAATCGTGTTGGGAGTAATGCTGGATATTCGTGTAACCAGAATGATATAGCTTCAATCCCTAAATTGTGTGGAATATTAGAGTATAAATTTTTACATCAAACGTAACTAGTTTGGTTTTTCTTGAGTTTGTTGAGGTAAATAGTTTAGGAAATCCATCGTATCTCTAGTATAACTGTGCACTTTGGTAATAAAAGGTTTAAGCACTATGTCAATAAAATTACTCAACCGATGTGTAGCACAACTAGGTCCTGCAATTATCGGCCTAAGTGTCAAATCATTAGGGTGTTCTGTTTCAATATAGCTATCAGTAGCATTTTCACATTTATCTTTAATATCCCGACACTTGTGCACTTTGGGTAATCCATAAAAGTTGCTTTCTTTGCAAACGAAATTTGTTAGGTAATCTAACTCCTTTTTAGTTGTTTCGTTTGAAAATGTAGTTAGAAAATCTGTAAGTTTTTTATGAACATTGGCATTGTTTATAACCTTGTAATTTTCCTGATCATTAATTATTTCCAAAGACATTTTCCTGTAATGTTTAACGTCCATAATGATAACAGCCCCACCTTTGTCGGCCTCTTTGATAATGATGTTTTTATCATTAAGAATATCTTTAAGTGCAATCCGTTCTGAATTGGAAATGTTAGACTTATTTGAACATTTTTGTGGTAATAAAGGGACATTAGATATAGAATCAATGTATTTATCTAGATGTGAATTCCTACCTTTCTTTGGAATCCAATAACTTTTGTTTTTAACGAGTGATATATCCTCTCCTGTGTTAGAATCATCAAAATACTCAATATTCCTTAATTTCCGACAAAACTCATTGATATCACTTTGAAGTTCATTCACATTATTACTATTTGGAGTCGGTGTAAATTTAAGTCCTTTGTTCAAAATCCGCTTTTCAGTTTTGTTCAGTTTCCGTGATGACAAGTTGATTATTTTCACATCTACTTTTGGTTGCGTCGTGATGTTGCTATCCCTGTCTGTGTTGAGCTTCGGCCTGGTTCCAAAAAACGATCGTTATAAGATGTCTGTCCGTTTCCAGAATTTAACATACATTCAGGTGATGTATTATTATGTCTTGAATTTGACTTTGATCTTGATGGGAGTCCGTTATGTTTGTTGTTTCTTCTGTTTGGTTTGGTTTGTTGGTGTCTCATGTTTTCTTGTCTTTGATTGGTTACACCTTTGTGGGGAATTATCTTGCCGTTAGCTGTTCTGCTCCCAATGAATGTAACATTTGTATTCAAATATGTTGTTGCCTGCTTATTTCCGAACTGTTTGTTAGCTGTTTGCTTCTTTCGTGCATCTCCTCTGTGTTTAAGCCATGGGCTTTCTTCGACTATGTTTTGATGGAAGTTCTCAGCATATTTGTTTAGCCAAGTTAAAGATTTCGCCCATCTATTATGCGACTTTTCCTCTTCGTTGCAGCATTGTGTTGACCATCTGTTTAGTAATACCTCTCGGGTTTGCCCCCGCGATATTCTTTCTATTTCTTCTTTCATTAGTGCATCAATACTCAAGTATTTATCCTCTTGAGATTGAGCACGCATTTTCAAAAGTTCAATTTCAATATCCATATCTTGTAATGCACGAAGTTCTCTCTTTCTGCGTTGGTCTAAAGGTTCACTTGGAATAAACGGGATCTTGAATTTTTCTGGTATTTTTGTGGTCTTGATTCATCCATACTATTAATGTATCTGCATACCTGTTGTTTCGAGTGCTTGCCAAAACACTCTCTTGCGTTGCACCAGTCGTGTATTCCATGTTTGACTGAGGGAATTAAATATTTTGTCCGCTTCCTGTTCTATTTGAAACTCGGAGATATTGTCTGGCCTTGATGTCGCCAGTTCGTCTTTACTCCTCTGTATTCCCTTTACTGCCTGGTTTAATGCTTCCTTTATCAAGGACGCATCTGGCAAAGTTGATGATGAAGCTTTGGATTGGTCTCGTAGAATACCTGTAATTGTATCCAGCTTCTCAGATATCATAGAGAGTTTTTCACTGATATCTATAAAAAGTGTGAGGGACTGTGAGGGACTGTGAGTTTAGTTTTACGCCGCACTCAGCAATATTCCAGCTATATGGCGGCGGTCTGTAAATAATCGAGTCTTGACCAGACAATCCAGTGATCAACATCATGAGCATCGATCTGCGCAAATGGGAACCGATGACATGTGTCAACCAAGCCAGCGAGCCTGACAACCCGATCCCGTTAGTCGCCTCTTACGACAAGCATGGGTTACTGAAGATCAATATCCTAACCCGGACCTTCACGGGTCTTTGTCAGAGTAAGTGAATTAGGTTGAACCATGCTTTTTGAACAGTACTTCAGCAATATATGTGTGTCAGTTAAGAGTGGAAAGCAGCCTAAAGTAGTGTATGTGTGGTGGTGTGTGGTCCTGTGCATAGAGCTCAAGTCACAGATCAGTTGAAATTAAGCAACGACGGGGCGGAGAGTCTTGGATGGGTGACCGTGTTTGGCAGTTTGACTCCTGAGAGTTTCTAGGACTTCAGTTCTGCCCCACAACGAAGCACATGTGATACATGTGCTCTCACCTTAGGCAAGTGAGTTTGTTCAAAATTGCCTCTGTTCACCCAGCAGAAAATGGGTACCAGGTGGGATAAAGCATGTGACTATAAGCTTCTAGAGCCTAACAGGCAGTTTGGGTTATCCGGGGTAATAATGTGTTAGCGACAAGAGCATGCTTATGAGAGTGGATATGTGCGCATTATAAACATGGTATATAGTCGGCATTGGTATAGCTCTGATAAATCAAGAACCATAAACAACAAGAATCTGGGATTCGTACCAACGACTAAGGATTGACATCTGTCTGGCCAGTGACGCGATTTCTACTTCTGGACCAACCCAGGTGTCCAATCTTCCTTGTGGGAAATCAGACAAGTCTCCAAATAACAACGACAAATTCTTGTAATGGCTCAGACTTCCTGACACGTCAAGAATTGTTGTATCAATACATCTTCAGCCGTTACCTGACAATCAATATAACCAGTCTAATAGGACCGTCTCCGTTGTCTTTGTCTAACACTCCAAGGTCTGGGGGCGGTGGGGTAGCCTAGTGGTTAAAGCGTTGGTTCGTCACGCCGAAGACCCGGGTTCGAATGCCCACATGGGTACAATGTGTGAAGCCCATTTCAATATGGCATTTCAACCTTTCAATTATCTGGTGTCCCCCGCCGTGATGTTGCTGGAATATTGCTAAAAGCGGCGTAAAACCAAACTCAGTCAGTCAGTCCAAGGTCTGGACAATGGTCAAAGTCCTTGAACGTTTCCAGTTTACTGTCCAGTCACAGTGAGGTAAATTCAATAAAAGGGTCAGCAACCACAGATGTACGGCTGTCGTATTCAATCTCAATTTTAGCATTTTGTGCATCGATACCCATGTTTGTCATGTGAGATAGCTACTCGGTGGTGTATTGGGGAGAGTGGCTGCCCGAGAGTGGTAACCCGGTTGATGTCGGTTTGCCTGAAACCAAAACGTTTTAAAAGACGGCAGTTGTTGTCATCCTGGCTTGCTCACGACATTGTGGGGATACCTCATGGACTGGTTAGCCCGGGTTTAGTATGCTGAGTAGGGTATTCAAGTTAACCTGCAGCATATCAAACCGAAACATAAGTCTCATGAGCCAATTCAGACAATTACCTACTTTTCAGCCGATCCGAATTTTCTCGCGTGAAAGTGAAGAGACACTACAAACAACTATGGTTACACAAAATTCCAATTTCTTGTTTCATAAGAAAATGATATTTACAAATAAATAATAATTTTAAACTTTAAAAAACCCGTATTTCTATATTTTATGGCGAGGATTAGGCAGCATGACCTGAACTAATAGACTGTTCCTGTTTGATGAGGCAGTAAACTGATTCATAATTCATCTGGCTGACTGGTTACACCTGTTATGTGTTCTTTGCTCTTATTAAGTGAATTTTTGTAACGTACAATGTGATTGATATAATATCAAGGCCAGGCCAGACCGCCAAAGTTGTTTAGCGGCCCAGCCTCGTTTTGAGATTTCCAGATTTCCGTTTGTCAGAGCACGCTGTACGACAGAGGATGCTGCACGACGTGTTTGCAAGCATTAGAAGGAGCATAGTGTTGCAATATACAAGTGATTAGATGTATCAAATAATATTGATTAATATTTATATATCCAGTTGAATGAGTTGATCTCAAAATTCTGGACTGGTTATTGTAGTAAGTTGCACAATAGGACCGAACCCAGTCAGCAGGAAACGAGACTGTTGTGTTATCAATGGTTTGACTTGATCTTGGGTTTGCAGTTTTACAGCTGGTATTAGTAGGGGCTTTATAACCAGGTGTAATGCTACTAAGAAAATGATATAAATATTTACCAATATATTACCTCGGATGATATGAAAATATGCACACAGATAAGTTTCAGCTTACCCACATGCACGTATACACACACAAACACACATGTGAACGCGCGCGCGCGCACACACACACACACACACACAAACACACACACACAAACAAACAAACAGAATATCATACACCTACGCACATACAAATACAGACTGGCACTCACGCACATACACACGAACACACGCACTTATAAGTAAGGGCGTTGCTATATTGGAGACATAATAACCGCGATGTTAAACCCCTCATCACCTCACCTTCTCAGTAAAACAACAAATGTTCAAGAAGAAACGACAAATGTGTATTTTTAAATTTTTTTACAATACAAAACCAACGATTGCTCTACATCGACAGTTCTTCAACCTCGCCTTGCTGGAAGCACTTGTCAGTACACTGAGTCCATTAGGAAACACGTTCTCTGACAAGAGACTCGGCACAGACACGCCATTCAGCAGTAAAAGGATAATTTTTTGGACATGAAACCTGTCAACTACGTTACACAAGCACTTTATTGTGTAGTCCTCCTGCAAGATGGCTTCGATCTAAATAATGATTTAATATGCAGTAGATCTATAAACTGAATAGATGGTACATGTACAGACTGCCATTACGTTTGATTCACAGTGCGTGGACAAGTAACGCTTGATTTTATTCGTGTTTCTGCATGTGCATATTACCGTTACTAACTCCCATGATGCAGTGCTCGTGTCATACCTCAACGACTGTGAAATGCTGTTAGATCTAAAACTAATATGCAATCAGGTAATTTCCGTTGATTAGTTCAGAAATCAGAATGTTAATGTTATTGTATTTTACGTTACCGTCAATGCATAAAATAACTAACATTTTACTTGGTCAATTGACAAAATGCGTCAATATTTTGTATTTTGTTTTAACTGACATAGAAATACGCCCAGTTAATTTATTCTGCTAAAGAATTTCACATTTTTGTGAAGTGTTAATTTTATCGACCACTGACTGAAAATGATAAATTTAGAAAGGGAAGTCAATGTAAAGTTTTTTACATTCTTGTTAGTGGCCTCTTGTGATGTTTTAAGGCTACTTTGAACTTCCAAATAGATTCTGTTTAGATAGTCTGTACATCTGTACAATCCAGTGAATGGACATATTTGTCAGTCAGTTTGAGTGAAATATTGTGTCCCGAGATCATCAATCAAATAAACGTCTGGCCTTAAAGTAACTGCAAGCTTTATTCTGCATCTATCTGACATTTACATCATTATTTCAGTTGTACGAAAACGTCGTGTACGAGAACGGAAACGCCGGGATACGGAAAAGCAGCCTTGACATTTCTGAGTCTGGAAAGAAGGCCGCGATTGAGTTCACGGCTGCGAGCTGTGCCGTCCTTGAGAACGAAGGTCATGTCCGGCTCGGCGTGAGACGGTCTGGAAACGTGGAGTGCTCCGTCACAGTAGGGTACGTGTCACAGGCGCCGTTGGTGTAGCATATGTCGTACATGTAGTGATTAGAGCAGGCGTTGTAGGTGTCGCAGACGTAGTAGGTGTCGTCGGAAGTTGCTCAGGTGCAGTAGGTTCCCGTCGACTGCACATTGTCCAGGTCCACACGTGGTAGCATCCAAGTGGCAAATGTTTGAAACCCACCTGCTCATATGGACTTGTTGATGTCATCGTTTACTCAAGGTAAGGCCATGTCGAGTTACCTAATGTTTAAACGTTCACAGAAGAACCGGATCGGAAAAGAATATCGGCTTATATGTGTGGGGACCATTTTACTGCCCAATGGCGTAATAATTGAATACGTTTTATGAGCTGTATATAGATTGAGAGAAAGATAGAGAAATAGTAAGTGAAAGAGAGAAAAAATAGCAGGAAGGAGAGAAATAGAAAAAGAAAGAGAGAAAAATAGAGTGTGAGAGAGAAATAGAGGGAAAGATAGAGAAATAGAAAGAGAATACAGGAGAGAGAGAGAGAGAGAGAGAGAGAGAGAGAGAGAGAGAGAGAGAGAGAGAGAGAGAGAGAGAGAGAGAGAGAGAGAGAGAGAGAGAGAGACACACAGACAGACAGACAGACAGACAAACATACGGCGATGGGGGAAGGAGAGTCCGAGGCTCCAATGGTTTCGTGGAGTCCAATGTCCGGAGGATACTGTTGCAATCAAGCTTCAGTAACTTCCCTCGATCACTTGATTTCAAGACAGGCTGTCAAACAGAGAGCAATAATGACATTTCATTTCAGTATTTATGGAAACCTTGTTAAACGATCCTTGTTTTCATGTAAATTGACCGCGATGTGATCATGTTGATGTGGAGTACCATTTCCTTCACAGCGTGGAGACAATAGACGGGTCAGCGGAAGCGGGAAGCGACTATAAGCCAATCAAACAGAAGCTGACCTTTGGGCCGAAGGAGTGTCTCAAGGACGTGTATGTTGAGATCGTGGACGACGATGTCTGGGAACCGGACGAGTTCTTCTTCGTCAAGCTCTTCCTTGAACCAGAGCAGGTCAAAGGTGACGAGGTCATCTTGGGGAAAGTCTCCATCAACCAGGTCACCATCGTCAACGATGACGGTAGGTGACACATTTCAGACATTCAGACAGTATCTTCTGTGACCGTCAAAACTGATCATTTACAGGACACGTGTTGGCGATTTAAAATGACATGCAACAAAAAATCATTTTCTGTACTTTGACAAATAACAAACATGTCTAATCTTGGAGGTTAAGACATTGATCAGAAGACACGTGTCTTTCATAGTTACCGCTTCCCCGTCCGGATACAGCGAGGTAAATACAGGTATCAGCCCCCTCAACTATCGAACTCTTTTGTATACATCCAGTTTCGAACCGCCTCCGTGGTGTAGTGGTTAGAGCGTCCACCGGAGAGCGGAAGGTCGCGGGTTCGATCCCCGACCGCGTCATACCAAAAGACGTTAAAATTTGGTACTTGTTGGTCCCTGCCTGGCGCTCGGCATTAATGGGTACAACAAGGACTGGTCGGCTCGGAGTCAGTATAATGTGTGTGAGTGTGGTATTCATGCTTCACTGCGGCATGGTATCTCAGTGGGCTAGCACTATAAAACCAGCTAAAGTCTTGGCTAGTACAAGCAGCCGCACATACACATACACACGCATGCACGTCGTCATATGAGCGAAATATTCTCAAGCACGACGATAAACCCAATTTCACCTCACCTCACCTTCATTCAGTTTCGTTTTCATGTCAACATATCCATTGTATACTCATGCCAATAATGGTTGTCGACCCCTTCAATTTTGAGTTGGAGAGGGGGTGTGAGGTGTGTGTGTGGTTGGGGTGGGGGGGGGTGACCAACCATTATTGGCATGAGTATACAACAAACCAAAAGAAGCAATGATCCAAACTCTATTTTATCATGCCGCACTCATTCATTGCAGACTGCTTTAACCAACACTCGCGCACAGAGCAACACAACGTTGCAGACATAAATTTGTCAGAACCATATCAACATAACCAGCATTTAATCGATATTGATAAACGGCATTTTGAATGTATCAACACAGGCGTCGCCGTTCTAAATAGATAGTCAGCCATTTTTACATATATGGCCGCAGTTAAATGCGTTACATAATGCTCATGTATATTCATGAAGAAGGCAAACGGCGTTGTAAGGCGTTCGAAGTGGCAAGTCGTGTTCTCTGATATTCTGCAGGAATAAGAGATCGAACCCGGGAACACTTCCACTAAATTTTTAATTCGATTCCAATATTTGCATGATCAATCATTTCACTCACTCTGTGTTTACACTGTCTCTCAAATGGAAGGAGATTTGCTTTCAGACAATACCGTCTTTAGTTTGGTTCTTACATCAGAAGCGGTTCCTAAGTTACGAGGTCTCTATACTTCCGTAAACAGATAAGGGAAAATATATTTTTTTAAATAAAAGTGTTTACAAGGGAAGTGATGAATATGTAAAAGGTATATATTTTCAATCAAATGAACATTATTCGTCAGAAAGGAGAACATGTTCCTTCTCACGTCACTGATTATTATTTTTTGTAATTACTGACTAACAATACACTCAGCATAGTTAATGCAGGGCAAAATAATCTCCGTTAAAATCTGGACAATGTTGACATCCCTACCTTAGATTTTAAAAAATAATGTGAAATTAAAAAACATTGCAATTCTGATAAACAAAATCCCCACGTTGTCGTTTAACTGCCCATACATTTACAAATATTTGTAAGTGTATTAGATAATCTAGATTATACATGTACCGTTACAGTACCCATGGGTGCCTGTTGTTAAAAGCCTCAAGATCTCGGGTATTTACGTGCAACCTTAACAAGAGCATGTTTGTTTTGATAATATGAATTTTACATGTGGGTGTGAGTCTTATGACAAGGTAAATATAAGGTATATTTATCTTTATAGTGCCACTTTCGAAAATCGATTAAAAACGTTTTCTCTGCTTAAATAAATAATATATGTTCGACGCTTTCATGTTTAACATCGATTGATCGTGCATCTCGAGTTGTGCATTGTTTCCTTTTGCAAACAGGTAAATATAACTTAAGGGTAAAGGGACTCTTATTTTTCAAAAACAGTTTTATTTACATACAATTTGTAAAATATTGACGTTTTAGGCAATATTTTTTTACGGACAATCGCAAAACTGAGACAAAGAGTGATTCTATGGAAATATATTTTAAGACATGGGTAGGTTTCTTTCGTAAACATTTTACGTTTGTAAACAGTCGAAGAAGTATTGAGTAAAGGGTATCTCGGAATACTGTCTGTACCGTTACTCCCATATGAAGCACTCAATGAGATGTCTATTCAAACTGTCAATCAATAACCTTTATGTTGCTATGGCGCCTTGTGGTTATACAATGAACTATATGAAAATTCACATCTCGTGGATTGACTCTGGATACATAGGGATATATCAGTTAAACCGATAATCAAGCTCTTATGAAAATCCGGATTAGCCTCGCCCACTTGGATTAAATATAATTCAGGGTTTGGTTTTTATTCATAAAGTATACTTATGATCATGATATTTTCAATAGAAATACGGGTGCGCCAACTGGATATGTACATTATACAGGCTCTGCTAATGTTAGGCACTGCAATGGGGGATAAATCAGGTTTAGTAGTGTAAATTTCGACTTGTTCTACATCTGCTAATGTTAGACAGCCTTTTCATCAATGCGTTTGCCGATGAAACCACGATGACTGTGTGAGCAAGCTTGGTGAATCCCTCGCCAACCATGGCAAAGAATGAGTTGACAACATTGGCGTCGAATTTGTAGTGGGATGGGTAAATTCCCATCGCTCAAAGACAAGTTGAAAAATATGTAGTTTCTCTTTATGCAAGTGAATATGTTTCATCATCATCATCATCATCATCATCATCATCATCATCATCATCATCATCATCATCATCATCATCATCATCATTTTTATTATTACAGAGCCAGGGAAGTTTGAGTTCTCTAAGCCGAGTTTCATCGTGAAGGAGGGATGTGGACAAGCCCAGGTGGTAGTCAAGCGGGTGAACGGCGCCGATGGCGAAGTCGCCGTGACGTGGAAGACCAAGGACCTTAGTGCCAAGAGTGGCCAGGAATACCAGGGAGGCGAGGACAAGATCCGCTTCAAGCATGGGGAGACCAGCAAGGTCATCGAACTCGACATTTACGGAATCAAGGCAAGTGACGATCGTGGACAAAATAAATAGGGGACCATATTATAATGTTAAAATAATTATTTGGTCTGTTAACAAACTTATGTAAACAAAAGAAATCTAAATTAAGCCCAGATAGAAAGTTCTTCTGCACATATTTTTGTATGTCTCACTCTAAACAAAACAAGTCTCGAATTTCACAATTTATCATTTTGGTGCCGTTTTGCAAAGCGGTCTTAGCGCTAAAGTGATCGTATCTGTCGTACTTTAACATAGACTTACGACAATTTTAGCACTATAAGGTTTCTTTGTACAGCGGCATCCAAGACGTATAATCTGTCATAACGCCGCATGCTCATGATGTCAATCACGGGATTGACTGTTGCAGACCCAGTTTTATGAGATCATCTGTGTATAGTTGGTATATTGCTGAGTGGGGCGTTAAATAACAAGCAAACATATACTATATCCCAGCAACCAACGTGTGGCCTTTCAGGGGTTCATCTGAATAGTGACAATGTACATTTGCTTCCAGGACTCTCATGAACCCAACTTCCAGGTTGATTTGTCCTCTCCGACAGGGGGCGCTGAAGTCGGGAAGATATCACGGACGATTGTCACTATTATCAACGATGAAGGTAAGGCCAATCATCACTCTGACCAATGATGTTAGAGATACAACTGTCTTGTATGGTAAAGTATCATAGTTACGGTCGCCTTGGCAACGAGAACGCTTTGAGGAACGGCTGAATTGCTGCCAATTGTCTTGTCAAAATGTTTCCTTTAATTCAAATGCGCGTAACTCTGCCTGCAAACTTACTCCCAATGACGGCTTAATTAGCTTTAAATCAGTAACAGTCTTCTGGGGCACCCTACTCAACTTGTATACAGGGTTCTGATGTATGGAAGCCCTTCTGGACCAATTACTTCAACGTTATGTCTTGGTTTGGGTAACATTGATCTAGATCACAGAACCAGCACACAGTGCAATTTTACTTGACCACATTAATAATTACTTGTCACGGTCCAGCTGACAATGGGGTTTTCAGCTAAACGTGGTCCTGTGCAGTCTTACTATGGTTGGCGCGTAAAGTGCTGTTGATATCATGAATTTTAAAATATACTAAATGTGAAACAATTAATTTTATTTTTTTATAGCATTCTGAAACCCTCTTTTTTTATTTTGTTTTTATTAAATGAATGGTGTTTGATCCGGGGACCCACTTCTTCAAACCTATACGCTTTGGTGGTAGGGTAGCTTAGGGAACATTGCGTGTGTTCTAGCGACGAAGTCCGGGTTTGTTTCCCAAATGGATACAAGCTTTTCATATGTGAAGCCGATTTTTCTTGTCACCTGTCGTGATATTCCTGAATAATGACGTACTCACGCATTAAAACTATTAAAACGATCATCGGCAGAGACAGCGCTCGGCCATCGTGTCAGCAGACGAACGGTGTCTAGGAGGCTACGTTTGCACGACCTTCGCGCCTACCGACCCTTCCGTGGCATAGCACTGAGCCGTCAACATCGACGTGAACGTCTGAGATGGGCACGCCAAGTTGCAGGCTGGCAGAACAGGCAATGGGCTCGAGTACTCTTTACAGATGAGCAGGTTCCACCTTAACAGACCAGACGGCAGGATACGGGTACATCGACGCAGAGGTGAACGTACTGCACGTTGCTGCGTACAAGAAGTGGAGCCCTACGGCGGTGGCAGCGTCATGGTTTGGGGAGGCATAATTGGAGACAGAAAGACAGACTTGGTGATCGTAGACGGTAGCTTGAATGGTCAAAGGTACATCGACCAGGTTCTCCGACCAGTCGTCTTGCCATTCCTGCAGCAGAACCCCGAACTGTCTTCCAACACGACAATGCTCCATGCCATACAGCACAGCGCGTTAGGGGTTTCCTATGTTGACGTGGTCGTACTAAATTCACAAATTAATGGACTATAGTCAAGAACCAGTGATGATCGTTCTGGTCTAACTTCTACACGTGATTTGGATCCTCCACGATCTCTTAAACTCGTCGACATCGTCCGTTCACACTGTATCCTTGATTTGCTGCCTTTCAGAGTTCAGTGCCATGGTGTCACGCATCCAGGAGAAAACCCAACATAATCTTGACGGACTGAAGATCGACACGGCCACGTGGGGGGATCAGTTCCACGACGCCATGAACGTGAATGGCGGCGACGTCGAGAACGCCAACGCGATGGCCTACGTCATGCACTTCTGCACATTCTTTTGGAAGGTGAGTTAAACTTAAAATTAAAAAGGTCCCCAACGCTTTTGAGGTGAATATTACATATACTATCAGTAAATATATGGCTTACATTACTTGAACTGGTGTAGCATGTCCAATTGTTTCCTCTCTGACCGGGAACGAGTAGTCCAGCAATCTGAAGCGACAGAAACCATGGGTTCGAATCCGAAATTCGACCCGATTGTGTTTTTATGTTTCTTAACACTAGTGCCATCACTGAATTTCAGTGATCCAATCGTATATTGTTCACCGCTATTTTGCCTTCTTTAATCCTAATGGAACCTGTTTTGTCGGATAAAAAGTACTAGATTCTCTAACGAAGGTTTTGTCAGAGTTGTATGACTTTGACATGAAGTTGTTATTTTTCATCTTCTGGAACCAGCACCATGACCGTTTTTGTGGCTTCAGCCATGGAACGGATCCGCCGCGATTTAACTGACGGCATTAAGTCCAACTTGTTTACTTACACTTGATTAGCCACCATCTATTTTAACGTGTAGTATCAAACACCACTTGCTCCGGCCTCCCATTTTGTAATTCAATTTTCACATTTCAGGTGCTTTTTGCTTTCGTCCCACCTCCATCTGTCGGCGGAGGGTGGTTGACCTTTCTTTGTTCCTTGGCGATGATTGGCTTACTGACAGCTATCATCAGCGACCTTGCATCTATATTCGGATGTCTGATTGGTCTGTCCCCAACCATCACCGCCATTACGTTCGTAGCACTCGGCACCAGTATGCCCGACACATTCGCAAGTCGTCAGGCAGCAATGATGGAGAGGTTCGCAGACAGTTCCATCGGCAACATCAACGGCAGTAACTCCGTCAACGTGTTTTTGGGACTTGGGTTCCCATGGCTCATAGCAACCATCTACTGGCAGGCTCAGGTATGGGTTTTCTAGGAAAGATCAATTTATTGAGTGAGTTTAGGTTTTACGTTTTTAGCAATATTCCAGCAATATCACGGCGGAGGACACCAGTAATGGGCATCACATATTGTACCCATGTAAGAAATCGAGGCTAACCCACCATTCCTCATTTTATTGACTCTCAGATCGGGAAATCCTGTGGTCGAATCCTGTGCATTATATTTCAGCCCAGAAGAGTGAGTGAGTTCAGTTTTACGCCGCTTTTAGCAATATTCCAGCAATATCACGGCGGGGGTCACATTGTACCCGTGTCGGGAATCGTACAAAGGTCTTCGGCGTGACGAGCGAACGCTTTAACCACTAGGCTACACCACCGCCCCCAGTCCGGAAGACATTTTGAATATTAAAGTTCTGATACCGTTTGTAATGTGTGATCGAATCATCTTCTTTTATCAGGGGAAAACATTCACCGTCCCGAAAGGATCGCTTGTGTTCTCTGTCATCCTCTACACAATCTGCTCCATCGTGGCCATCGTTGTGCTTCTTCTACGGCGAAATCTCTCCTTCATGGGCAAAGCTGAACTGGGTGGTCCCAAGGCCGGGAAGATAGGCAGTGCCATTTTCGTATTTTTAATGTGGGTATTCTACGTCGTGCTCTCGTCTCTCCAGGCCCAGAAAATCATTCACGTCATTTGAACAACGTCAAATGAGTATCAGGAAGTCATGAGATATCAATACAGCCAGTAAATTCACATTTAAGGACGTTTGAAGCTGGCTTCAACAAGAGATATTTTCGTATCTGTGCCTCGTTTCTCAAACCGATCGTAGCACTGCATCTACTTCACCATTTAACGTTCACTTAACGTCGTCGTAACGCTAACCAAACTCTCAAATAGCATATTGAGAATATACAGAAATCGCAATTTGATGAAGTTTGTCTCCATCTGATTGAATTCCAGTGGTTAAAGTTTTGACGTCGGCAACTAAAAACGTGATCAGTATTGGCGTTCGGTCCATGCCCTACGTAAACCGTTCTGCTAGAAACGTTCACTGGGTATTACAGTGGAGGGGGATCACCTCAGCGAACCGTGATTTTAAATGTTGATACTGGGATCATCCTTGCACCAACATCGCTATATTTTTGGAAAAATCTTATTAGTGCTGCTTAACATACACGGGAGTTACTTTTAGAGATATATATGTACATGACTTAATCAGTGCAACCGGTTTCATAAATCCTTGTGTTGGATATAACTTCTGTGTTATATTCGGGACGATCTAGTATTTCTTCAGTGTACATTCTGCTCTTTTGGTACATTGACACATGTTTAACAAAACATCACACGGGAGTTGCTTGTCATTCAGAGGTGTTGACCTTCACACTGGAGCGAGTTGTTAGTCATCGATTACCAAGTGTATCGATTACAAAGTGTATCGATAATCAAGTGTATTAGATCTTCATTCCATTTCCCAGAAATCCGTCGGTCAATCACACCGATCCGAAATACGCGACGCTATAAATAGCTTACAAATTAATCTTATTCAAATAGGAATGATCTTGATTATGACGTCACTTAACGAATTTCCTGGGTTATCGAGGATGCTGTTAGTCTTGTGACAGACTACCTCGACTTTTTAATTCATGTCTAATATATTTTCATCTGACATTACAAACTGTTATTGCGTATTTGAAAATCAGGATTAGTTTGTAAATCGACATGCACCTTATTGGTGTTTTGCAATAATATTTTGGAAATTGTCAACATTAATTGTTCAGGCAAAAAACAGTTTGTAGCACTATCTATAGCGTCCGTGACGTGTCATGATAAATGTGTTTTTTCAGTCTGTTAAACTATACAGCTCAACGTTTGTAAGGATAATATGATAACGCAATTGTATATAAACATACGCTTATTGTTTACACTTGTCACAGGGTACACAAAGTACGTGATGTAGAGTATCGGTTTTCAGACTTCCGTTTTTGTGGAAGCTTCGTTGTCTGAGTATATTCCGTCACTGACTTTGTGTGTTGGCGATTTGGTTTCTCACTCTGAAAGCGTGGGTACGAATCTCGGATGGAACCCTCACCATAAAGTACTAAATTTGTATTTTATTAAGACTGTGTATTCCAAAACATAACATTTGTTATATTATGAGAATTTGTTTTGTATGTCATGGAAACACGTATAATGGGGAACATTCCTGGAGTTAACTGAGGAATTTTCCCCATTGCCGAACATTTTTTAACATCCTGTAATGATACCCTTTTAAAAATACTTATATGTAGATCTATGTTGTTTAATCACCTATGCTTGTGAAATCCTCAGCTCGTATGGCAGGGGTCGAATATGTCTTTACATTACAAACTGCTGATGATTGCTGAGCCAGTGCGAGTTATCTCCCTTGTGAGAAATCCCTTGGGTGGTTAATAATCTGTGATAGCTAATGATCTCTTCCAATATAGTTGTTTAGTAAACGCAATATGATGGTGATGAAGTATTGAAACGTAAATTCACATTTGTATATATAGCATATTCCCATTATAGGCCCCTCTGCTGTTGATGAAATATTTCCATATGAATTATTATCACGAGTGTCAAAATACATGATTATTGTTCCATCATTACACGATATAATAGGATAGCACATTGATGACACTTTTAATAATTCATATTGAAATATCCAAGCAAAGAAACAGGGGCCTGTGATGCTCATTTAGTGTATGAAATATTAATAGATTTTTTGACACGTTTGCAATTGTATTTCATTATTCCGGACTTGACAAATATTTTTGCACCAACTCTTATGTATATTTTTTAAAAAGACCGGCTCTGCTTAAGGAGTCACATGTTGTTTATGCTTCATTAAAATGTGTTGATGGTTAATGATATAAATAATGACTGGTGATACACTATTGTACAAAACAAACTTCCCCTCTACCGCGAACAGAGCAGGAATGGCTTGTCCTCATGATTGCGACCGACCAGTGATCAACAGCATGAGCATCGATCTACGCAGTTGGGATACGATGACGTGTCAACCAAGTCACTCTGACCATCCGATCCCGTTAGTCGCCTTTCACAACAAGACAATTCTAACACGGATCTCCACGGGTCGTTACTGAACGTTTTCTACTGCCAAAAACTGCTCGTTCGCGAGGGAACGTTTGTTTTGAGTAGTAGTGTATAGATGGAATGGTAAAATACTCGCTTCTCACTCAGATTCCCTACGTTGCCACCGCCGGTGTTATTTCCCCCCCCCCTCAAGGTATGGTGATAATGTGGTTGCTCAGTGCAATGCAGTAAAGTCGGGTGTTGCACAACGTAATGCAATAATGACTTTACTGTAAAGCTTTACTTGGTGTATAACACCTGGCTAAGTTCGTTTTATTCATTACAACATGATAAGAGTCGAACACGCTCATTGATACTGTTTTTCTCGTGGGATAGCAAAACCAAAAATACCATATTAGGTAGTTAATGTACATTGTATACAGCGGAACCCCGTTTTTCCGAACAGTATTGTTCCAAACGCAATTGTTCTTTGATACATTTTCAGACTGATGAATACCGATAATATTAATTTGCTTTCCCAGGAGCTATTTACCTTCAGTATGTAATATTTTTGTTTTGACCAGGAAAAAACCCAAAGCACCACCCCTCTGTTTTCATATTTACCAAACCTCCGTGCAGGTTGACGTGGACATATAGACATGACATTCACTTAACATTAGCGGCGTTTCAATATTGAAACCAAACAAACGCATTTTTTGTATATGTATTAAAGCGATGCTAAATTTTCTTCGAGGTATATATATCCTTCTGTCGACATGAATAGACGTCTCCAATAGTGTTTGTCCTGTAATAAGGGAATCCGGACTAACGGGGTGTCTCTGTATGCAACTGTTTTAGAAACTTTTAAAGAAATACTGCTCTGTCCTTATGTACATAATCAAGGTTCTAAGAATAAAGTTTAACAAAGTTTGTAAAAACGGGATTAAATGACATATATTTTATATCATAATATTACTCCAGTATAATAACTTTCTTTAAACCGTTTTAAAACTTACATATGCTGACTGTTTTCAGAAATTATGTTCCTATTAATTGTTATTTGGTCAATGTATTTTCCCAAATGTATTGGAAGATCTCTCCATACCTGTCTGTGACGCATTGTCACTTGTTAACTTGCACACAGAGACAAGGTTGTTTATGAAGAATCTCTGTTCAAATTACAATTTGTGCACTCTTTCTGTTATGAAATATGAATAATAAATATTTAAAACACACAGATGATGGTTGTGGTCTCTTAAAAAGAAAATTGTAATTTGTAACAGTCAAAGGTTCAGGGGAGACAACTGCGTATAACTTGGTGCAATTTTATGAACTTTTATGGCCGCTTCTAAAGACTATGTAGTTAGAATGAAGGACATGTTTGAATGAATGCTTCAAGCAATATGACGGCAGCCTGTTCATAATCGACTCTCGACCAGTCAGAATTGATGGACATCAATTGACACAACTGGGATGTCATGACATGCGTCTACCAAGTCATCTCACATGTCAACAACCAATCTCGTTAGTCGCCTCTTAAGACAAGCATGGGTTACTGAAGACACATTCTAACCCGGATCTTCTCAGATGGGATAGTATATATGACTGACCATAGCTGCAGTTTCAATATTATTTATAGTGGAGCAGCAGAAGCCTTATTATAGCTGAGTTGTTGAGATACACAATTGAGTGAGTGAGTTCAGTTTTACGCCGCTTTTAACCATATTCCAGCTATATGACGGCGGGGACACCAGAAATGGGCTTCACACATTGTACCCATGTGGAGAATCGAACCCGGGTCTTCGGCGTGACGAGCGAACGCTTTAACCACTAGGCTACCCCACCGCCCCTTGAGATACACAAACCAGCATAACCACATTTTCGAAAGTGGTCAGAATTGATGATCTGCCACTACTGTTAATGAAAACCCATGATGACTTTTATGAAAACTGAAAATCTCCCAATCCTACCAAACTGACAGGTTATACTTTCATGTGTGAGTTCCCTCAACGAAATTATCGGGATGGTTTTGTATAACGGGTTAGTTTAAGAAAACGTTTTCGTATAGTATGGCGTCAACACGTGAAGGTTGCGATAACTTCAGACGATTTAGAAACATGCTTTATGAAATATATGAACTTGCTTCTAGATAACCGCTTATTTAAAGGTGGAAACAATATTCATGCATGTACAGTTTGTAGTTATATTATATCAGAAGTGATATTTTCGCTCTCTAACAAGATGTATCCGACTTTGTGATACATTTTCTATGAACCCCGCTGGGAATTCCGAACTCATTTGGTACTTCGTAGTAGTTTATCTCGAATAACACTGAATCCGCGTATGCATTCGTAACTACTCGTGTCATTCCGGCAAGCCGGATGGCGTCTCGTGCCATACTCGTGGCCATGTTTACGACTGGGCTCTGTCTAAGCGCAAACGGGCATGGAGATTAAAATTGTCTTGCACTATTACCAAGGAAAGATAACTCTGAATTTCCAAACGTGGCTCCTAGAATATCCTAAATCCCGTGGGCAAAACACCAATACGGTCATTCCCATTGTAAATATGTTTCAGTGTTTAAAGTTGCTGATCCTTTAACTCAAAGTGTATGTTTAAATTGTGATTTGCATAGTTTAGCGAAGTTTCACTTCTTGTAGGTCACGGAAAGGGGCGAGTAGTTACGAATGTCGCATATGATGTACGGAAATTACCGATGTTTTGCGAATGCAAATCGATGGAAGGGAGATAACTCTAAATTTGTTTTTCTTGTTGTCTGGTACTCCATACTATGGTCCGATACCCGTGCTTCAAACAGTTCAAAATTACTATTGAGGTGTTCGGTAAGATAAATACGTTGTTCACTGGTCCCTCGGGGCCCATGGGTTGATGTACCCTCGATGTTTGTTTCTGTTCCCTGAGCCCTGAGCCAGATGTACATACATCGAGGGTACATCAACCCATGGGCCCCGAGGGACCAGTGAACAACTTATATTTTGCAAAGGTGTGTCTAATAGCCGTGCAATCCACGTTGCTATACAAGTTCAATAATCTTGACACGGCGCTAAGACCAACTCACCTGTTGCTAAGACGCCGGAATACATCTTGGTTTGTACTATTACTTGGCTTGTACTATGGACTCCTCTAAGGCGACTTCACCGCTTCCCTCACACATTCCAGAAACTCGGGACTCGAACCCCATATTCGCTCCGATTCCCTTATACGTTATCACCATGATTCTCGTGTTCCAAGTTGTCAAAGACCCGTCAGCTCTTTCTTCTCTCTTGTCATATCCAGGTGACACGCTCTGATGAAATTGTAATGCTGTAGGAAGAGGCATTAAACCCAACTCACTCACTCACAGACTCCCTTCTAAGTCATCATAAAACTGCCGCTTCCGACATAACTCACTTTTCCAGTTTAAAAGTGCAATAAACTACGCCTATAACCAACTGACGGATATAACTGTTTTCCCCTGGCCACTTGCATTATGTCTTTATCGAAATGTGTACCATGAACCACAAACCACAGTTATAGGGAAGTGAGTGACATTAGTTTTACGCCGCACTCAGCAATATTCCGGCGGTCTGTTAATAATCGAGTCTGGACCAGAAAATCCAGTGATCAACAGCATAAACATCGATCTACGCAATTGGGATACGATGACATGTGTCAAGCAAGTCAGCGAGCCTGACCACCCGATCCCGTTAGTCGCCTCTTACGACAAACACGGGTTACAGAAGATAAATTCTAATCCGGATCTCAACGGGTCTATAACGAAGTAAAATTATAGGTATCTTATATAACTGTAGTATACTATATGTAAGAAATATTATGTTACGTTTCAGACTGTATTCTAGATTGTACTGCGTCCACACTTCATCTACCGAAGGTTAAGTAAACCTTACTTAGAGTTTGGTGATGATTGGTTTTAACTAGGGCTGCGCAATATAACCGGTTTACCGGTATTTACCGGTTCAGACATGAAAACGATACGTATTGCGATACGCTGATCGAAAACCGGTATTTTGACATGCAATCGGAAAACTTCGTAACACTCGGAAATCTTCGGATATTTCCGTTTTTAAATTGTTCCTTTCCTTGTTTCATTTGTGCCAAACATTATTTACATTTTTATTTTGTCATGATTAAAAGTTTTTATTAAAGCCTAATCAAGCATTGTGATTTTGTTGTGTTTTTGCTTTATAAATCAAGCATTAACTCGACTATAAGTAGTTTTTTGTTAAAAACCTTCTTGCAATATATTGCAATACATATCGCAATACATGCTTTCGTATCGCAATATATCGCAATATGAAAATTCCCTGCAATACCCACCCCTAGTTTTAACTGAGAGTAACTGGTTCGTCTTCACTGTGAGATACCATTTAGTATAACCAGCTGAATCTATCATCGTAGTAGTCGCTCCTCAGTAACGGTATTCATTGCTTTGATGATAAATTCTTTGAACATCACAGCGGATACGATTGGTTTAGATTGAATTTCATCTCTCTTCAGATAATCACCTTAATCCGACTACGTCTTGTCTAAACCTCACCATATAACCCGGAGTTAATGGCGCCCTGATTGGCTACGATATTCGTCGATGTAAGGAGAAGACTGACCCTAGTTTTTAGTCCAGTCAATATTTGAAAGGCCGGTCAATATCGGAACCCAATTAGTGTCCAGTTTGCCATGACACGGCCTGCGTCCATCTCAGAGAGGCGGTCATTTCTGCAGCTCTCCTTGACCTACTTCGACTGGACAATGATAGTAGTAATCAGTCCGGGCTATAGCAGTACATCCACTACGGTAAGACGGTATAGCTGAAGGTCATCGGTCCATATAGAGGGTTCCCCAACGAGGAATTCACCAAGATACTCTACCAACAAGAATTAACAGTGGGCGAAATGAAACACGCAAGTGGTTCCTCTGCACTATTGGTTGTTTGAAGTCGCACTCTAGGCATTGATGGGAGTCTGTAAACGTTCTCAGCACTATACCTTTCGTAAGTCTATGATAAGGTGTAGAGTTCCGACTGGTCGTAACTTTACGAACGCTCTGTGGATCGGGACCCTGCAGGCGCGGATACAGCTTTTTGAGAAAAGTTGTGTGTGTGTGTGTGTGTGTGTGTGCGTGCGTGCGTGCGCGCGCGCACACACACACTTCATTTTCACGAGAGTTTCAATGGTCATTTAATAAAGAAGCTTTCAGGACAAAAAGGTGTGTGTGTGTGTGTGCGCCACCCCACCAACCCAACCACACCCCCACACACACATCCCCCACACCCCCACCCACCCCATCGTCAGCCAACCGAAATCGTCGTCAGCCAACCGCTCCTTGGGCTGCTATGAGTGAGTTTGGTTTTGCGCCACTTTTAGCAATGTTCCAGAAATATCACGACGGGGGACACCAGAACATGGGGGTTCTGCTATAAAGAACATGGGGGTAATAGGGACATACTATGTCCTGGAATCCTCACGAAAGTGTCAGAACTGTAGCCAAATATATTGAATTCAGCCGAGAATGTCATTTACTCCAATACAGTTTTCACGAACCACCAACGATTGGTATTAAATTATACAAAGATTCCCATTTAGAGTAGCGTCGATATGAGCTGCTATCCAGACAAGCGGTTCAGCCGGTGGCTGTATATCTTCTGGTAAGTACATGTATATGTTTCTGATGGCGGACAATTTAATCTCCATTAATTGCAAATGGCGGCCATAGATAGGATGTCTGGTGGTGGGTTATGAGAGGTTTATGACACTCATAACGCTCAACTTGCATGGCGAACGTGAACCGTGTTTGACATTGACTAGAATGAGACACGTCATAAGGGCATACGCTGTAGGCTTCGTGCAGACGTAGTACGGAATAGTTTTGCATAACTTGTCACAACAAACGTTCCACGATCAAGGCCAGGGACTGGATATCGATGTCCATATATTGTCAAAGGTTATTCTGGAATTGCGTTTTTAAGAATTCCAGGGTTGGTTTGAAGTGAATGATGGTGTGAAGGAGTAATTGAGTGAGAGAGTGGTTGAGTAAGAGAATGGTTGAGCAAAAGAGTGAGTGAGACGGTGGTTGAGAGAAAAGGTGGTTGAGTGAGAGGGTGGTTGAGTCGGGGATTGGTTACATGAGAGGGTGGTTGAGTGATAGGGTGGTTGAGTGAGAGGGTGGTTTGAAGTGAGTGGGGATTGGTTACATGAGAGGCTGGTTGAGTGAGAGCGTG